AAAATTTTACCAGAATAGTTTCCAGAAGATGGGGAGGGGGGGGAAGGATGGTACTTTCTCCCTTTTTAAGGAGGAGAAGTGGATTTGGGGGAACTATTTTGGGTGCAGTAAAATCTATGGGGCAGGCATCAGCTAAAACATTTTGATCTCTGTGGTTTTGCTTGGTCACTTTCTTGAAATGTTGGCAAAACTTTGATTGAGATAAAGGATGGATTTTTTTTCTTAGGTGGATAGCCCTTTTCACACACACCTCTTTTGCCTCCACCAGAGGAGGAAATCAGACGGTAGATGCAGGTCAGTCAACACTATGGGAGAGCTACAGGCCCTGCATCTGCAGTGGATATTAGCCACTACAGCCAGAGACACCTGCTCTGGGCCCTCCCCGTGCTGTTGCCGCTGCCAGGAGAGCCATGCAGCATGATGGGTGCTCTTCTCTTGGCACTAGATTCAGTCACCCTTCCACTGATGTTGGAATCCCAAGCCCCAAATATCACAGCCTTGCATGTTTCCCCTCAGGTGTTGCCACTGGCCCCATGGAGACAATTCACAACCTCTTCAGGTGAAGCTTTATGACAGACCAGTGTCCCAACCCTGCCAAAATAAGGTGATAACACCACATTTCCTCTTGAAACTGCCCTCAGCGTACCCCAGCTTCAGCTAACACCACAGTCCTGTACCCATGGTGCTCTTGCTAGTGGGGTGCAACATGGGTATCATACCAGAGGGCTGCGTTTCTCTCCATACTTTCTTTTTAACAAAAGCTATAGTCTTCTGCAGAGGACAGAGTTACTGAGAGTTTGTCATGTTAAGATGCGAGGAGGATGGTTTGTGTGTGACCTTGTTGTGGGACGAAGAGTATCCTTGCACAAGAAGGAGGGCTTGTGACTTTGAACATGGGGCATCATCAGCTTTCCCACCCTAGTGCCTCAATTTTAGCTAGAAGAACTGCTCCAAAGCAGGGTGCTGCACATGATGGGGTTTGTAAGGTGGTGTCAGGCCAAAGAGAGTTAGCAAAGAGTATTTCAGGTGTATTACAGATCCGGAGCCAGGTCACTTGTGTTGATCCACAGTGGTGATAGGGCGGAGAAGAGTACTTTGTCTCTTGTGGCAGTCCCTGGGCTCAGGCTGCATCACCTTCCTGGAAACAGGCAATTCCGACAGCAAGAGCAGAGATCATACAGCAGGAGGCAATTCAAGAAACAGCACACCGCATAAAAGGTGAAGGAGGATTTTGGGGAGTGATGAAAGTCGAAAAGGATGCTGCTGATTGAGCAGTACAAAGCCCAGGTGCTTCAGCTGATGCTTATTAGACCTTCTCAAACCAACAGGGTAATGCGAGCTGGCCTCCTGGAACACATCTTTGATGGTGTTTTTTCTTTGGAAAGTGGAGAAAAGAGGGGAATTTCAGACTTCTGGACAGGATGCCAAGGCTGCAAAGGTAACCCCTCTGTTGTGGATGAGCCCAAATATAGACCTGGCTTGAATTTGGAAGAGCAAAGATGTATGGCAAATCAAGCAGCGTTGGGGGATGAGGGGGAGGAGAAGATAATAGGATTCGGCCAAAGCTTTCCAAAACTCCAAGGAAAGTTAAGTCAGGCAGGGGTGAAAGCTAGCAAGTTCCTGTGCTTTTTGGACCTGCTGGCTGAGCTCCCACTTCAACCTCTAGCCTGGCGCTGCCCTGTGCTAGGAAGAGCAGGATGCTTTTGTAAGGCAGTTGTGACAGTCTCCTCTCCCCCACCCCTCCACCTACTGTGTTAGTCAGGGGGGATCTTGGGGCCTCGCTGTCTGTCTCCACCCTCAGGGACCCGGGGAAGCACTGTTGCTCTTAGGCTGTGGCCTGCCTTTCTTGGGGCTGCTTATTTCTTTTTGAAGAGCTTGCGGAAGGAGCTCCGGAAACCCCCCTTGGGCTCGTGCCGCGGGTTGTGGTCGCTGAAGGATGTTTGCTCATTGTCATCCTTCTGGCAGAACCTGGTGTTGTCTTCTGCATGGAGCTCCTAAAAGGGAAAAGACAATTTAACCAGCATTTGCAACCTCACATCCTTGTCCCCTTCTCTCTCTCTCTCTCTCTCTCCCTCTCTGTGCTAGGAGGGACCTGGTGGGTGAGGAGGTGCTGGCAAGGTCAGGAGACAACAGGTCACTCGGGCCTTGGCAGCACTGGTACCTCTGCAGAGGGCTCGGTGCTGGCTCTGAGGCAGTGGCAGAGGAGTGGAGGGATAAGCATCATTAGAGGGAACTGGAGCTTTCCTTGCTAAGCTTTTTGTTTAGGGGGAGCTTACTAGCCCCTTTTCCCAATGAGGGAGCAAGCCATCATGGGGAGTTGAAGGAACTTCCCACTCTCTCCTTGCTGGTGAGATCTCTTTACCCTAGGGCAGGGAGGCTTCAGGCTTCTGGAGCTGATACGGTGTGAAAGACTCTTCTGTTGGCTCTGCAGCTGTCTGGTTTTATATCTGTGGGGCAGAAGGCTTCATTAGCACACACACCTTTTGGTAAATGTGCCACTTAAAAGATCTCTCCTCCTTTTAGGAGGGTGCCAAGTTCCTCTCAGCAAGACTCTGGACAAGTCCCTTTTCTCCAGTTCTGCCCACTACTGCCACGGTGGTCTCCTTTGCTCTGTGGAGGAGAACGTGTCCTGCAGTTCTGGACTGGCTCCACATCTGCACCCTGCTGTGGGCTATAGCTCTGTGCAGGTGTGTGCCAAAGAGCTTACAGGCTCCTGTTTCTTGGGGGGCTGTGTCCCCATGGCTCTTCTCCCTCTGCCCCATCTCCCCTGCTCAGCTGTTCACCACCTCCTTCACTCACTAGACTTTTTTCTCTCATTTCTTTTGAAGTTTCCTTGCTGCCTTTTCAGTCAGGCTGTTGGAACCTTCCTCCCATCATCATCTGCATCTACAGCCTTATCTGCATCTTGCCTTGTTTTAACAGAAGGGTGTTTCTCCAGGCATCACTGAGAGAACTAGCCAAGCACCTCACAGCACCCTCAGCCTTTTCCCCAGGAAGTGTGAAGGGCATCTTCCCCCCTGACTGTGACAGCTGAAAGCTGACTCTGAACAGGCACTGCAGGCTACACAAACGTTGTTCCTGCGAGACCTGGTGTCGCTGAAGGGCTGGAGTGCTGCCTGGCATGCCCGTGGTTGGCTGAGGGACACGGTTGCTGGGCTCTCTCTGTTTTCACACAGACTTTAGCATGGGTCTACAATCCATGCAACAAACACAGGTGAAACAAAACCCATGGACCACATCTTTGCTGGTGTAAATGGGCTGAGTTTGGCCGAGTCCTGCTGGTTTAAACCAGCTGAGGAGCTGATACTAAATCCAGTGGTTTTCTTAGCCCAGCACTCCTCACAGCAGGTGGAAAGGCACCTTTTTAACTGGGTGCACTCTGTAGCACTGATTTCAAACAGCTCTGCACATGCTTCATGACCCTGGTCAGGTACAACATTTCCTTGTGGGGGAAGCTCAGTGGCAGCTAGAAGCACATGAGAGGCTAGCTTGTCTCAAGGATGTTCTAGCTGTGACTCAGCCAGCTGTGTGCCTCAAGCCCATGCTTGTCCCCCGGGGGAAGATGAGTGTGAAAAGGAGCTGTCTTGTCCCTCCCTTGGGCGTGTACATGCAGATGAGGACTTTGAATGCGTGGACTTGGAAACTATTTTGGCATGTTCTGCCCTAACTGTATCTTAGATCTTTCTCCTGCTGCTGCTTCTGCACCACCATGCGCCTTTTTTTTTTTTTAATCCTCCTATTTAAGCCTCCTTACTTCCAAAAAGCTCTGTTTTTCACCCGCTCCTCTCTGTGGGGGGAAGTAGCTCCTTTGGGAGCTTCGAGATGAAGCTGAGATCATGTGAGGCTGGACATTCCTCTCCTGCTTCTGCTGCAGCCGGCTCCCACTGCTGCTCCGTGTGCTGTAGAGTCTGGTGCTCACGCCCTCAGCGCTCCTCGGTAGCTCCTTCAGAGACCTGCTCAGCTGCTTGCCTTTGCTGTGGAACATCTCACGCTTGTAAGTACTGCTGCTTACGGGAGTGCAGCTCTTAGGCAATGGTTGTAAGGCATGATCTGTCCTCTCTGGTTCTGATGTGAAGTTAACAGGCCTAAGGAAGCAAATGTCTAAGCTGGACTCAGAAGAGGCTGGGGAGCAATTCTCAAAAAGAGTGAGGTTTTGAAAGGCATCATCTTCATAGGGGCCTGGCAGGGTGAAAACCTCCCCAGGGTAGTCAAACTCTTCATAGCTTGGTGCAAAGTTCCTCGCATCCTGCAGCAGCTCCACAGAGGTCCTGATGGCTCGCTCAGTGTTTCCCACTGCATCAGCTGGTGGTGCTTCATACTCCATTTCAGGGATGGATTGTAAGGGGGCTGTCAGAGCCTTGAGTTCCTGCTCTGTGAGCTGAGAGGATGCAAGGATGTTCTCTGGCCTCTCATGTTTTCTACTTTCCATTTCCCAGTCAGGGGGCTTTACAGCCTGGATGTTCTCCATCACGGCTGGCTGTGGTTTCTTCATCTGGGGCATCAAATGCCTTAAAAACAAGAAACAAACCAAAACAAACAAACAAAAAAAAACAAAACAGAAGGAAATGGAATACTAAAGGATGACCGAGAGACAGTGTGACAAGCCCCTCTCCTCCCTCATTCCCCCAGCCCCATTCTCTTGTTTTTAAGGCCAAAAGGTATTTTCATATCTTGCAGAGCAATAACAGAGCTGCCTCTAATAGACATTGCCTGGCTGGGTTAGCAGGAGCAAACTTGCAGGGGCAGAGCAGCTTATCCAGTAGCTTTGCCTGACTGTTGTACTCTACACCATGAAATGAATAGAAACTGAGATGAGAAGTCAACTGTTCCATCTGTCTCCTGTTCATCTGCATTTTGGATTTTTACTTTCCTTCTCTTTCTGTAATGTAGGGGCTGTCTCTTACTTTCCTGTGATCTGATTGTCTTTTCAGGTGGACAAGGTTCCTCTCTTGGTTACAGTGACTCTGTCCCCAGAAGTGTGTCAGGAGTATTTGGAGGGCTCCTACCTTCCGTGTGTTCCAGGTAAGTCAGCAGAGAGTGTTGCATTGGATGAGGTATTAGGTGCAGGGTGTTCTCCTCCACAGCCCTTAATGAACACTAGTTAGGAAAGTCTCACTGCCATCTTCTGGGGACATAATGAATGGATTGAGGGAACAGAAACCTTGTGATGTTCATCAAGGTGTGCGGAGCTTTGCATCTGGAGCAAGATAACCCCATGCATCAGATCAGGCTGGGAGATTTGGGTTGAGCAGCAGCCCTGGTATGAACATGGGGTTTATAGCTAATGCCAGGGTAAAGAGAAGCTGACAGCATGCTCTGAAGGCAGACAAGGCAAACCCTGACCTGAACTGTGTTAGGAGCTGCATGACCAGACAAGTCTGGGGAGTAATTTTTCTCCCTTCTGTTCAGTGCTGATGAGGCCCCACCTAGACCTATGTTGGGTCCTCAGTTCAGGATGAAGGTGGGGAAGCTGGTGAGGTGCCAGCTGAGGCTACCTAGATGGGGGCCTGCAGCATTGCATCTGTGAGGGAAAGGAGATTGACTTGGGTAGTCTGGTGAGAAGGAGGCTAGGGATTGATCTAATAACACTGCCACTTGAGGAGGACTCAGAATGATGAAGCTAAACTCTTCTTCTTAGTGTCAAATGATGTAAGGGTAAGCACAACAGCTACAAATTGCTGACATAAGAAAAAAGGCAAGTCTAGCATGCTTCTCTGATCATCATCTCAGTTGGCACCTATCACTAGGCTAGAAATGGCCAAAGATTGCCAGGTGCTACCAGTAGCCCTGTCTTTCTTGAATTAGTTTTGTCTTTTTTAACCCATTTGTACACCATTCAATGACACGCTGTGTGGAAAAGTAGAATCATAGAATGTTGTGAGCTGGAAGGGACCCACAAGAATCATCGAGTCCAACTCTTGCCCTAGCATAGGACAAGCCCAAGGTTCAGCCCATGTGTCTGAGGGCACATGTTGGCCAAATGCTTCTGGAATCTTGTCAGGCTTGGTGCCATGAGCACCTCCCTGGGGAGCCTGTTCCAGTGCTCCACCACCCTCTGCCTCAAGAACCTTTTCCTCATGGCCAACCTCACCCTCCCCTGCCACATCTTCCTGCCATTTCCTCTGCTCCTGGCATTCATTGGTGGCCAGAGAGAAGAGATCAGCGCCTGCCCCTCCTCTTCCCCTTGGGAGGAAGTTCTAGACCCCCCATGAGATCTCCTCTCAGTCTCCTCTTCTCCAGGCTGAACAAACCAAGTGACTTCAGCCTCTCCTCATACCCTTCCCCTCTAAACCCTTCACCAATTTTGTGTCTCTCCTCTGGACACTCTCCAGGAGCTTTATACTTTTTTTGGTTTCAGGTTTTTTTTGCTAGTCTGGGACCTTGGTCATGTTTCCTAATTCTTGTAATGTTGACAGTTAATAACGCAGAGTGTTACTCTGCACCACTGCCAGGCCTACACAAATCCATGTCCTCCCTGGTATACTGTGAAGACAACAAGCAAAAGCATTGACAGCCCTGGGTAGAGCTCTGAAATGTTTCCTGCTTGTAAGCCACATGGTAGTGGAGAGCAGGAAGGAGCCAGCCCTTCATCTCCCTATGCCTACACAGGGAGTAGTCTTGGAAATGACAGTCTGTAACTGCCCACTGTCACTGGCATAGTATGGGTGAGGAGAGAGTTTTCAGCCTACATTGAAAGCCTTCTACTAGGACAGTGGGCTTACGGGGTTGTCGTGCCAGAGGAAGGTGCTGGTGGGAACGACTGCATTGTCTCTTCAGAGTGGATCCCGCTGTCCCGGATAGATGTCGCGCTGGGTGTTGGAGAAACCTCTTGGCTCGTACACTGTGAGGTGAGACCTTTGTACAGCTTCACCAGGGATGACCTGAGGGAGGAGAAATCCATCGTCGTGCTAAGAAATAAGGCAGGGAATGAGCACGAGCATGTAGAATCACAGAAAACAGGGCTCAAGGGACCTTAAAATTCCCGTTCACCTCTTCCTGCCCCAGGGACCTGTTTGTTCCACCTAGTCTGTCCCAGTCAGCAGGGCATCCTGCTTCCTGTCCTGTTCTTAATGTCTCTCCTGATAGTCGCTCCCCAGCAGTCTGCTCCAGCCTTTTACCACCCTCCATATTTGGAAGCTTCCCTTGAAGTTTGATCTTGTCCTACTCCCCCAGTGAATCATCACAAAGAGCAAAGACAACCAGATTTTTGATTTTAGGAAAAAGTCTTGATTTCAAGGAACTCTTCTGAACCACAGCTTGAGGATCTACATTCAGGATCATTTCTATCACAGTTCATCTCAAAGAGGTTATGGGAGGTTTTTGTTTCTCCCACCCCACTCCCCCAGTAAAATAAGTTAACATTATTCTTTCTCAGTCTTAGCCTATGAGGACTTCAGGCAACAGTCTTGGCATTCACTAGTGCCCCAAGCTGCCAAAGCAGCTGAGTCCCCATGTATTCTCTCACTGGGGAGTGACTTTGCCATCAGCTTAAGGAATCAGATGTTCCCATGAAACACGCAGCTGTTCTGTTTAGGATTAAACTGATTTTCCTTTCACCCTCAGAGTTAGACAGAAGGGCCCATGGCAAATCTGACCTCAGTTTGGAGGACAAATGCCAGTAGTGGGCCTTCTGCAGCATTCATATGCAAAAGGCTTTGTTTTATTTCAGCAATGTGCCTCTTGATCTTGCCTGAACCTAAACCCCCTGTTTCCAGGCTTCCTCCACACCTCCCTTTCCCTGGTGATAGAGAGAATGAGCTGATGTTGTGCTTACTTCTTCAGCTTTTTCCTCTTCTGTATAAGCAGGTCTTCATTGCATTGGAAGAGGAGGCTATAGTGTGAGATGAAAACCCGGAGGCGCTGCACACACACCAGCAGCAGGTAATAGTCAGGATGTTCTTGCTCCGTGAACTTCAGGACGTTCTGGGGCACAGAGGAGAGCAGGCTGTTTGGAGGGTGTCCTAACTTTTTCTGGGAATGAAGGTGCTATTGAGACCATGGATTAGTGCTCTGGAGTGCTCATGGCACTGCCCTGTGGGAGCTTTTCTGGGCAGCACCAGTTTCTGAGGGACTTGGATGGGGCCTCCTGCCTCCTAGTCCAGTGCAAATACACAAGTAACCAGTGTAAATGTAATGGTGGGATGTGTGGGTGAGGCACTGGTTGAGTTTAGCATTGGATAAATGAACTAATCCCTTGTTCTTACAGGGCTTTCTTTCTGTGTCATTTGATTCACAAGAGCAAGTGTAGAGTCCTTCACCTGAG